TTCTTGTTCACATTATCTTCATTCCTTGTCATTCAGCCCATGTTGCTTGTCTCTTTAATATCTCTCAGAAATTTCCCATCCTTACTTTCATAAAAGCCACTTTTATGAAAGTAAAAGTGGCTTTTATGAAAGCCACTTTTCTTATTTTTGGCTTTTACTTTCTCAGTGACCAAAATCTGTCATCTGTTCATACTCATCAAACTGGTCTGTTCAACTGGAAACACGGGTAAATCCAACAGAGAATATGTGTTGCAATAACTCAGCCCTTCTGAATTCCAGAGGGTTCAAAAATAAGTTTCAACCAGTTTGTGATTCTAGCAAATAGGGAAAATGAGTATCATGAAGTAATTTGTTAGGATTTTTTTCCTTATTTTTATATTAATGTCAAAGAAGAAGAGCTTTTCATCTAGGTTTGATTACCCAAAGTCCTTCTTGATTTCTCTACATAATTAAAACCAGAAAGTTTTTGAGATAAAATGGACTTTTGAAATTATCTAGACAATAGTTTGAAAACTGTTACTGTTCTCACAACAGAGTTATTTATTAAAGACACGCTGTAGCACTAACCTTGGTAGGAGTTTCTAAGTACCACTCACCCTATCTCCTTCTGTACTAATCCCGAGAGACTGCTTGGAGCCATAGGACTCCACCAATACATTCTAACTTCCTCATTTTACAACTGAGAAAACCAAAGTTTGGAGACTATAAGTAGTACAAAGCTATAGTAAAAGGCCAAACTGGCATTAGAAATCAAAGTGCCTTGATTGCAAGTCTAAGGATTCTTCCACTATGGATTTTATAACTATTTTTCTTTGTTGGTTTGGGAAACCATTCATTCAGGTTGAATGATTCTATGATGATTTTTAGCATAAATCAAGGAAGTAATCTCACTGCCTCTGATGGCGTTCTGTGATGTCTGTGCAAAATGACTCAAAACTTCCCTGATCATCAAGCCAATAACACAAATTTGGAAGCTTTCTTGAGCCTGTTATTTTAAAAACATGTCTTAGAAAATGCAATGACAGAAATGGAATTATGAGTCTTCATGAAAAATACCATGAGTAAATACTCTACCTATAAAATATATTTCTAATGGATTGAATTTATAATTTAGTGATATTTGAGAATTACTTATATGGTAGAGAAAAATTAAATACTTGGATGGGAGTAGTTTCCAGTCAGGCCCACTGCTAACATTTGTGGGGCACAAGGCACAGGACAAGACCACATATGGAGGTTGACATACCATGTAAGTAAGTATTGTAAAGCTGTAAGTCAAGCTAACCCACAGCCGTGCCTGAGTTCCTATCATTCCACTCAGGGCTCTGCTCCTGAAGGACTGCTCTCACATTCCAGAAGCCTAAGGAGTCCTCAAGGGCTCTACCCTTCATCAGCCTTCATTCTCTGAATGAATCGTCTAGTGCAGGGCGGTGTCAAAAGTGAGGCTGACACAGGATTCTTGGAGGGTGTCTAGATCCATCAGAATCCAAAATGTGACTTACCTAGATAGGCTCCCTCAGTGACCTGAGACAAATAATTAATTCCCTCTCCCCAACTCCTCAGTTCTCTGACTCAAGACTTCCACATTAAGCACCTCCTCAAACTGTCTCCTGTTTAACAATTCTTGATTTTTACATTTTTTTCCCAAGAGAAACTCATAATGATCAACTTGACTTATTGAATCACCACTCCTAGACATGGAAACACTAGGAGTTCTCATTGTTTAGTTGATGCTAACATTTTACATTTACATACACACTTTTTTTGGGGGGGGGGCAAGGTCTCACTATGTTGCCCAGGCTGGTCTCAAATTTCTCAAACTCCTGGGCTCAAAGGATCCTCCCATCTCCTGACTCAGCCTCCCCAGTAGTTGGAATTACAGGCACACACCACTGTACCTGTCCTCACTTATATACCTTTAATGGAGTCTTGTGTGCAATGCAGAGGAGGAATTGTATGGATTTGTCTGGTTAAAAACAAACACACAAACAAATAAACAAATAACTTGTAAAGGAAAACTTTCTAATATTGGGGAATCTTCCATTTGGGGGCTACAAAGCATTACAAAGACAATTTGAAAAGTAACTTATTCATTCAATGTTTCCTCACAACTGAGGTAAAGAATTATTAAAAAATACAACTTGGATTTATAAAGGAAATGTATAATTAATAATTAGTTTCTCCTGACCAAATCATATGTAGGATTTTCATTCCAAATGAGAATTACTATAATATACAGTTTTTATAAATCCTTCACTCCTAAAATCACACTATTCAATAAAAAATAAATGCTTTCAACCATCAGCTAAATTCAGTACCTACTATGGGCATCGAGAAAAGTTTAGACACACCAAAACATGGTACTTTAACATTAGAAATAGTTTTGCATCTGTAGTGTTTCCGCTCCTGCTGTTATTTTCCACTGACAGGTAAGAGTGAGGTTTTGACACTCTTAATATAACATCGGGTGTTAATCTTATAATCACCCTGTCAGCACTTTCTGTCAGAGTGTTAATGGCCACCTTTCAGCCACTCAGAGGCTGTTGCCAATAAAAATAATACCGGCATCCAGCCAACCAGAAGTTATTCAGCTACTTTCTTCTCTTCATTTTTTTAAAAGCAATGAATAAATTAAAAAAAAAAAAAAAACTACCTGCCTTAGAAGGGGAAGTCAACTTCTATGCCCTACTTGCCTACTTCTGTGGTCAACTCCCTGTGTGGTAATAAAATTCAAACTTTTTCCTTGGTCTGAATCTTTGCAATATATTTGAACTACTGAAAGTATTTCTTAGTTTTTACATAAATATTTCAAGGAAAAGGCCTATCTTGACTGAAAATGTAAAGCATCCTCTCAACCAGATTGAAAGCCACAACTACTAACATACAATTAGCAACACCAAAGTACTAGTGCATTTGAAAGCAAAACATAATATTCATATTGGTATATTTATTATTCAATGGAAACCTCTAGAATCCATTTCGTATAGAACTTTGAAATGAAATGAATTAAAAGAAACTATAATTAATTAAATTTTTATGTTCTGGATTTGATCCTTTATTGGATCAAACAATGCCCTACAAATTGTGGCTCTTTTACTAATCACCCATTAAATACAAGACTAGGAGGTAAAAATGAGAGTTGACTATGTAGGAAAGAGTATCTGACCAGCTGAAAGTTTGGTTTTCTGATATTCATTTCACTCTTTTCACTCCTCCCCCCCTTAGCTTTGAAAGATGTCCATTTGGGTTTGAGGACTTCCATTCTCTGTTAATTGCTATCTTCTAGGTCATCTAACTCTGCCACCCTGTGTTTTGATGTTCTAAATTAGTGGGTTCTTTGTAGCTATATGTGTTTGTAACATTTTTGACAAAGAAGTAGCTCCACAAGGCATGATTTCTTTTTGAAATATCAGGATATTTAAGCATCACAAATACTCTTTCCCCAATGAAATGTCTATGCATAAAATTACAATTGTTATAACCATGAAGATCAGTATGAAAATCTATCTCACAATGAGCTGAATTTCTCACACTTTTATTTTGCTTTGGCTGATGTGCTTTTTAAATCTCCTTTGTGTTAACTTTTAAAAGAACTGACATGTATGTAATAGTACTATGAGTAGTATTCATTGAAACCACAAGGAGTTTCCGCAATAAGCTGACTGATTTATTTTATGTTAAGGATAAATCTGTCATCCTTTTCTTTTTAATTATAATGCTTTTAGAAGGTCTTTTATTTTTCCTAATGGCAGACTGCACATGGAAAATATATTTCCAAGAGATAAAATCCAAAGAAATTCACAATATACTCTTCTCATTGCAAACTAAGTGAAATGTATCAGCAAACCTGTCACTGGGTTTGGCTGTAAAACAGGGAAAACAATGAAGTAACAAGTATAGAAACTCAGTTTTATAGTTCATGGGTCACATACTTTTCTGAGAGAAATTCCCTTCCAAAATGCTGAATAAAACAAGGCTGAAACTATAATTTGAAGCTACAAAACCCAAGTTCAATTTTAAAAAAAGAATGGCAATTTAATTAAGTTTTATTTGTATTATGTTTTGCCTAGATATACAAGGTAGGAGTAGAGGGAGGGCATTGAGTAGACAATTAAACTATCAGATAAATTCAACTGAACTTCTCCCTTTAAGATATTATTGTTGTCCCAAAGAAGATATGTTGAAATCTAAATTAGTTCTAGGACTCAGATGTCACAGTCTTATATTATAGAATTTCAGTGAAATTTTGGTATATGTAAATGATGTGGTTTCTCGGTCATTTTTTAAAAAAAGATTAATCCTTTCTATGCAAAAGAAAATGCTAATGTAATTTCCTATAAATCCTTAATCTCATACGTGAAATGAGATCAAATTAAATGAGGATTCTCCTACTCCCTCCAGCAGAGGATTTATTTTTAACTTCTTGAAGTCTTCAGTATTTTAGAAGAAGACAAGGTTAGAGAGTTATGAAAGTAGACATGAAGAACAAAGAGATAACATCATTGGATGATGAGGATGTGGAGAGTGTCAAGATTGAGGATTAGGATTGGTAGAAATAGGTGACCTGAGCCAATGAAATTGTAACAGGCCAATTGTAACAGCCAATGAAATTGTAACACTGTTTTTTAGATCCAGCAATCAATTGCATTAGACTGTAGAACATAAGCAATCACTTGGGAACACTCTAGTAAATGAATTTCTAAGTTTCCTTAACATTATATGACTTGTCTCAAACCACAATTTAGTTTATTCCTCAAAGAAATTTTTGTAACTTTATCAAATATATATTATTTTTTCTAAAGACATGGAAAAATTTTTAGTTTTTTTTTCTTTTGTATCATTTTAAAATTGCATTAAGTAAATGGTATTTTAATTTATATTTCTGTTTACTATTCCAAATATATAATCACTAATCTGAGTATATTCTTTTCAAAGCATTATGTGATTAAAAGTAAAGAATCTTCATATTCCTTGTCCTTTTCACTCATCCTCATCCTCAGAATGTGGAAAGACTCATTTTCATGGCCATTTGTCTTCTTGCTCCTGGAGGTAGTCCAGCATTCTGAGCACCTCATATTCACCAGAGCCAAGTTTTCCAGATACCCGGATAAAAGGTAACATTAGGCTGGTTTTGTTTATACACTTAATACAAGTAAATAAATTCAGGCCTGTAATCTGGGAGGCCAAGGCGGGGGAGGGTAGCTCAAGGTCAGGAGTTCAAAACCAACCTGAGCAAGAGCGAGACCCAGTCTTGCAAGAGCGAGAGCAGTTTCACTATTCAGGAAAAATAATTTCCCTGAAATGTGAAATGATAAAAAGAAAAATCTAATTGGTAATAAAATGCACCATGTACACTTTGTTCTATATGTATATATTGACATACAAGGAAAACGATAGTTACAAATAATGGTGAGTACATCACAGAAGTTGTTTTCTTTGCAAGCAAAAAATGACTCTAGGTTGACTTTACAAAGAGTGACTCCATCTGAAAGACATGTAGAAGCTCACACTATTAGGAAGAAGGCTGAAGATGAACAGCTTTTAAACTGTACCAAACCAGAGCAAGCAACTCAGGGTGTCTTGGTAGCAAGGGCTGCTTGGTAATCTTACTGAGGAATGGATTAAAACCAGTCTTGTGGCCTTGTTTCACACTGCTCAAGCTTGGCTTTTTCAGTGTCATGAGGTATAGAAAGCATTTCTAGTAATTTGAAGGCAGCTTCAGAAGTAGGAGGGCAGACACGTGGATTTCCTGTTCCACCAAGACAGCTTTCAGTAAGGAGAGGCATCTCTCAAATTAAATTGTGGTGCTTGGTGGCCAAAATACTAAAATCCATACTATATTTATCTTTACAAGTGAAGCACTATAGTTTCTCAGCAGTGGCAAGGACACTCATATAAAAATGTGATAGTTAGGTAATGAGAAGAGAAAGAGGGGGAAAAAAGAGCTTACTTTTATAGATAGTCTAAAACCAACCAAATGAAGTCTTATGTTAACATACTCTAATAACAGCAAAACATTAATGACTTAGAAGTTATAAGTTTCAGTCTCTAGGGGCTGAAGGCTAAAAGAACAGGTGTTAAGACATTTACTGAGACTGATGACAGTTTGCTACTAATTAAATCATTAACAGAAGATTCTGCAGCATTTTGGCAGTACTCAACATGCTCGAATCAGTTTCTCACACCTAGTTTAAAGGAGTCCTCTTGCTTTCTTTTTAGCATTAAATAAACTTTGCTTAATTAGCAGTTACCTTCTCAAATTTGCCAAACATAGCTTGGCACTAAGTCTAACTAAACATGGGATAAACTAAAAACAAACTTTAAGAAAATTACTTTATGGTCTTTTACTAAATGTACCAGAGGGAAATGCAAAGCAAACCAAAACAAATCAAAAAACAATCTCTGCAAACATGTCAAAAAATAATTTTTAAAACTTGGGAATACTCAACAAAGTAATGAAAATGCAAATTAAGAAATTTTATGCAGTGAGGATTAAAAATGGTGTAGATGATAACAGTAGCTAGTTTATCCTCTTACAAACAAAAAATTAAAAGCAGTAAATCCCAAATGTACCACTATAAGTGAAGACACAACTTTCCTCCTTTAACCAGTTAATTCAACTAAAGAAAAAAAAAATTTTTTTTTTTTTTTGAGACAGAGTCTCACTCTGTTGCCCGGGCTAGAGTGCCATGGTATCAGCCTAGTTCACAGCAACCTCAGACTCCTGGGCTTTAGCGATCCTCCTGCCTCAGCCTCCCGAGTAGCTGGGACAGGCATGTGCCACCATGCCCAGCTAATTTTTTCTATATATTTTTAGTTGGCCAATTAATTTCTTTCTATTTTTAGTAGAGACTTGGTCTCGTTCTTGCTCAGGCTGGTTTTGAACTCCTGACCTTGAGCTACCCTCCTCGGCCTCCAAGATTACAGGTGTGAACCACCACGCCTGGCCTAGAGAAAACTTTTAAACTTCCCAATTCTCAGAATCCAGTTTTCAAAATATATTATCAGGAAATAAAACCAACTTATGAAACCACTAACTGAAAAGTAAAAGACTGCAAGAAACACCTTTTTGAAGTTGGCCAATCAATTGCTACATGCCCAGAAAGAGGATTTGTGTTGTGAGGCACGAAAAGAAATGAAAAATGAATGGTTCACGTTTCCCAAGTTTAAAATCCATTTCAAGGAGATAAGAATAATTTTGCAGGAAATCATTAAGTAAAAAACCAAAAAGTGTTTCCATTGTACAAGAGAGTGAGAAATTGATCTGTAGCTTGAGGATGAGGTAGGTTTTTAGAAGATGGACAGTAGTGAAGTGAACATTCTAGGGAGTGGTGAGAGTCATGTCTGGGAATGGGGGCTCTGCAGAAGGGTAAAGTCCCACAGTGTAGGGTAGGAGAACTTTGGTTTTGAAGGGCATACAAAAGATTCACCTGGCCAACCCAAGAGATGTAAAAAGTGATGGGAAATGATGTTGATTAGTGGGGCCATGTTATGGAAAGCCTTGAAAAACATACAGAAGGAATGTAGAGGTATTTGTACTTGAAACAGTAGGAGTTAACAGAACAATAAGCTTATCATGTAAATTGAAGTCTGGAAGGGATTTGCAGGAAGGATATTATCTATCTCTATGTTTCTTTGACATGATACCAATAGATTTAAAATAGAAGCTGAAATCAACCAGAAAATGTACTGCCAAAGAAACGGAAAACCCACAGTTACATCAATGATGTGACTCAAACAAGCAAAAAAAAAAAAAAAAATTCATATTTTTTTAAAAGTAAAGGACATTATTTAATCAAGCAACTAAGTGAAAATGTCAGCCCTGCGTTACTCAGGCTACTCAACTGTGATCATTCAGGCCTTTCACCTCCAAGCCTCTGAGCTGCCTCCTCTGAAGCTAATTGTGCATAGAGCAGGGAGTGGATTAGGATCCTCAGTCTGTGTGTCTGGTTAAACATCAAGGCAGCCATGTCCATTTATCATTTCTTTCTTTTCAAATTCTGCTAAGTTAGCAGAGAGAAAAAGAGAGGGAGAGAGAGAGAAACAAAAGAGGGAAAGAGGGAAGACAAAAGAAAGCAGAAGGGCCAAATAAAAACTAGCAATTTCAACTACAGTACCTAACCACTTTTTGAAAGAGGGAAAGCACATGGAAGGGTAACTATTTTACAAACTTAGTGCCTTCAGAGAGGAATACCAAAAAGAAAGGAGATAATTTTCTCCTCAAGAACTCTGGGCTTGGAGGTAATAATTCATGAAAGAATGGAAGATAAAATACATACCTGAAAACATAAAGGCTGCTTGGAAAATATGTGTATAGAATAATTGTCATCTTCCCTACCCCATATAAATATCCATCATATTTCCCCATATACAAAGCTACATGACCATCTTCTCTTAGCAATCCCCCACCCAGTCACGCACCACTTTCACCTCTCCCCTGGCCATGACCTCAGGAGATCATGGCATTATTATGTGGACAAAATGAACAAGGAGTCTCCAAACTTATGGACAGCAGGCACACAGAAGAATGATGGTGAGGTGACAAAAAGACAAATGGGAAATTATAAGAAAGTATTTAAAATTGACACTGAGTGCTCCAACCACCTTCTTCAACCATGTGACTAGCTGGGAAAAATAACTCCAGGCAGAAGAAGAGATGATTCTTCTCTGAAGCAATATAAGAATTTGAGACAAAAAAAAAAAAGATCTCTAGCTATTTTCTAGATATTGACTCTTGGAAACCTCCCAAGGAGAAGTCAGTTTACTCTCCAATCATTCTATGAAAAATCCTCCCATTCAAAAGCCCACCAGGACACACAGTGTTGAATCCCTTTCTGGAACTCTCTGTTTAACAGTTAATGAAGAGCTAAGTATCACCTGACATTTGAGAAAAGCTTGTAACATAAAAGAGACCAAAACAAATACACAAAAGAAAAAAAGAGAAAATTGAAGGAGCATAAAAAATACGTTTAAAAAATCTGTGATTACTATCATCAGCTACATAGGAAAAGCGATTTCATCTATGAAACATGAATAGATGAGTTGAATAGAAAACATTCAGAGACCAACAAAGAGCACTTGGAAATTAAAAAATCATTGCTGGAAATGACATACGTTTAAAAGATGTAAGTTGAATGTTCTCCAGTAATTGGAGTACCTTTTCTTATAGAAGACTGATTTTGCCCAACCAGAGCTGGATCTCATTATACTCTGCTTGTATTGTGGGCTCTCTCCAGACTCCCAGAAAGCTCTGCAGAGAAGTAGCTCCATTATGGCATTAAAGCAATACCATAATGTCAAATGGATTTGGTCAGAAAGCACATCTCTTCTTACTTGTGTTTTAAAAATTAATTTTTAAACTAATAAATTCTCTGAATCCATTACTTATGCTCTGTATTCCTTCTGGAATATAAATTCATTGCTCTCATATTAGTTATACCCTTAGCAGCCCTTTGTTAAATCTTGGAGATAAGCAGTGATGAAAATAAAGTTAAATAAAGCTTAAGAATTTTTGGTGAGATGTATTATGTTATTTCTGGAAATAGAATGGTTAATTAGGACTTGACTATAATTTCAGTTGGACATTTTAATTTATCCAGTTTTAGAATGCCTTTTAAATATTATTGATGCTATAATATCGATGAACATAATCATATTTTTCTTAGAATTTATTCACCATATTTTTTATTTACTGGCATTTTATTTCTTTTCTAAAAGTCTTAGTTTTCTGTTGTTACTTGGAGGAAGTAACACATTAAATAGGGCAGAAACAAATATTTTTGTTTCATTGGCAGAGTTTTACTCATATTTGTCATGTGCTGCGCATCTGGATTTTAAAGTTTGTGGCTCATGTTGAATTGAAAAAGAAAGATGTGCAACAAAAGCAATGAAAGCTTATTTTCCAAGAAGTTCCATTTGCAGTTTCAAATGTTCATCTTTCTCAAGAATGTCATTAAATGTCATTTTTTATCTTCTTTAAAGCAGTAAAAGCATGTAGTCTTTACTTCCCACTTAATAAAAAGTTTAAAATTGAGAAAACTAAAATTTCAGCTTCCCTCCTTAGTTCCTCAACCATTTTCTATCACTTGAATTTGACACATCGAAATTTAATTAG